TATTCCGATATATTACAAACAATATTCCGATATATTACAAACAATATTTAATATATTCCGATATATTACAAACAATATTCCGATATATTACAAACAATATTTAATATATTCCGATATATTACAAACAATATTTAATGCATTTCTAACAAAGCGCATATTTAAAGTTTTAATAGGTTAAACAGGTCAAAATTATGTTTTGTTTAACAATTTTAAAATTCTGGGTTTGTTGCACCAAGTTGGCAAGTACTAACTTATCTATAAATTTTATTTCAACATTTTATTGCATTTTTTGACAGTTGATAGAAGATCTATCGTAGCAAAAAAGCTAAATCTGTTAATAAACTATTTCAAAATTTGTTAAACTTCTAAGAGGAAATATAAAGCCTCTCGAATGCAAAAATCTTGTGAGGTCATGTACAATACTTTCATGCCTCCTAGCTTGTCTCTTAATCTTATCCTGTTGGATTATTCTATGGTTCTGCTAAATTTAAAAACTTTTCTATACAAAATCATTCAGTAAACTCACTCTTCAGATCGTCGGACTTTTAGGTCGTTATTAAAGTATTCATCCCTGTATAGTTGTGATTTATCAAATTTACAATATTTTAATGAAAATTATTTCAATATTGCATTAAAACATCTATATAACAAATATACATCATGATGTATTTATGCATTGAAACAAATGAGTTTTATAAACATGTTTTAATAATATGCATTATATTATCTAAAAGATAAGTTAATGGTTTGACGTTATGATAAATAATTAAAGTTGACAAAACAAAAATCTTTCCTTTTTCTAGGATGGAAGTACAAGAAGTGTACAATATTTATATATATTCTAGGATGGAAGTACAATAAGTTTACAATATTTATATATATTCTAGGATGGAAGTACAATAAGTTTACGATATTTACATATATTCTAGGATGGAAGTACAAGAAGTGTACAATATGTATATATATTCTAGGATGGAAGTACAAGAAGTGTCCAATATATATATATTCTAGGATGGAAGTTCAAGAAGTGTACAATATATATATATATTCTAGGATGGAAGTACAAGAAGTTTAGAGTTTAATCAGCTTCTGATTACCGCTGGGGGAGATTCAGGGGAGGTGAGACAACTCAATAAATAATAAATATTTTTCAACTTTTGTAATTTTTTATCTCTAGAAATATTAAGTTTTGTCATGTTTTCCAATATTTTATTTCATTTTTTCATTTTTTAAAACCATTATTTTGATAAAGCTTATTATAATTAAACCTTTACGGTACCTCTGCTAACAAATTACGAAATTCAATAATCTTTAAGCAAGCTTTATTTATATTAATAGGCGTTTGAGGCGATTCGCGCCAATCTTCTATTTCAATTGTGAACTTTTTCTCTTTGTATACATTGCAAAACAAAAACAAACAAAAAATTCGCGGATTTCATGAAAACATTCCGTGAATTTTTAAAATTTAATGAAAATAAAATTTGTTGGAGACTAATTTTTGAAATTTCAATCATTCATAAACCTTCCCTTGGGTCATATGAGGTCCCACACAAAATTTGGGCCCGATCGGTTCAGTTTTTTTAACGTTTATTGGATACAAACAAACAGACAGACACCCAGACAAGCAAAGTATAGGAGAAGAAGGTTGTTATCTTAAAACTAGTTCTTGCTACAATTTCTTAATTTTTAAATACCTAACTCTTTGAGTTCGTTTACACCTTCAGGCTGCAAAGATATAAGGTTTAGAAAATTTGAGTCTATGGCAAAAACTCACTTCTTTTCTCTAGTTAGGATTGATGGCAGGGATAGGTTCAGGTTCAGGAGATCTCCAGGTCCCTATACCAGTAGAGAAAAGGAAAAGATACGTCTATGTTCCTCATTGTCCGCAGGAAAATATTATATACAGAGTTGAAATTAACGATTAGATACTTAGATACTGAAAAGGCCAAAAACTGTTGGAAATTATTAACAAAAAGGTTCAGACTTAAAAAACTAAATATTAAACTTTTTGACACTTTTATGTAGAGGTAACAAATGCTTCTATGATTTAAACACAATTTTGTAAATACGAGTGAATAATTACTCATATTTGATATTTGTTCAAAAAAAAACTGTTTATATTATGTTGGTTCAGGGCCCAGGGCTGGACTGTCCTCTTGTTATAGATCCCACAGGTAATGAAACAAAATTGTGAGAGAAGCTCTTCGTTCTAGACTGAAAATTTAAAAATGTTTGTTATCCAACATTAATATAATTTCAATTCCTTTCTTTTTTTAGTAAAAGCAATTTTGACATGTAAATAAAAATTTAAGCTTTTTAAATACTTCTTTTCATATTTCTCTTTAATAAATTTTAATATTCAAAGAGTGTATTTCTATTAAATACACTTGAATATATTTAAGGAGTGTATTTCTATTAAATACACTTGAATGTATTTAAGGAGTGTATTTCTGTTTAATAAACTTGAATGTATAAAGAGTGTATTTCTGTTTAATAAACTTGAATGTATAAGGAGTGTATTTCTGTGTAATAAGCTTTAATGTATTTAAGGAGTGTATTTCATATTTCTGTTTGATAAACTTAAATGTATTCGGATTGTATTTCTATTTAATAAACTTGAATGGATAAGGAGTGTATTTCTTTTTAATAAACCTGAATGTATAAGGAGTGCATTTCTGTTAAATAAACTTGAATGTATAAGGAGTGTATTTCTGTTAATAAACTTGAATGTATTTAAGGATTGTATTTCTGTTTAATAAACTTGAATGTATTTAAGGAGTGTATTTCTGTTTAATAAACCTGAATGTATTTAAGGAGTGTATTTCTGTTAAATAAACCTGAATGTATTTAAGGAGTGTATTTCTGTTGAATAAACCTGAATGTATTTAAGGAGTGTATTTCCGACGGGAAGGATTGGGAGGTAATTATCTTTGTGGACAATCCCCTACAGAGCAGGAGGAACCTAGGGATACAAACCTGGAACAGGTGATACAGGGATACAGAGATACAGGGATACAGGGATACAGATATACAGAGATACAGGGATACAGCGATACAGGGATACAGAGATACATGGTTACAAGGATGCAGGAATACGGAGATATGGAGATACAAAGATACAGGGATACAAAGATATGGAGATACAGAGATACAGGGATACAAAGATATGGAGATACAGAGATACAGGGATACATTATTTATCATATCCGAATATGCACATAATAAAGATTATATTCTCTATTCTCTAGGTTGACATGGATTGGTTTGATGAGGCTGTGTGGCCTGTTTTAGCAAACAGAGTTAAAGCTTTCGAAACATTAAAGGTAAAAGTCTTAACAGAGAATTCTAAAGATAAGCAGTGGGAGTAAAAACTTAAACCCCTTTAAAACTATTTGAGAGAATGTTTATTCTAATGTTTTCTAATTTTTCACAAAATTCATAATTGTGAATGAAAGACAAAAATTACGCTTATTGTTGACTTCTTGAATAATTTTATCTTGAAAATCTCTTCTTATTTTATGGTTTAAAAGACCCCCTGATCTGTTGAATATTAAGGAGCCATGTTAACTTGCTTTCTTTTTATGACGTAATTGTATACAGGTTTCCACTTAAACTGTTTTTGTCATATCTCTTTCAATTTTTTATAAATGTTTTTATGAAATTTTGGAAAACAACAGAAAAACATTTATATGCCTTTCAATTTTGATAGAAATAATTTTTTTTTTCAATTTCCAAAATATTTTTTTTCAAGGCCTAAGATCCAAAGCAAACAAAAAGTTGTAAATATATGGTCCAAAATATAGCTAATCCTATTTTTTACTCACCCTAAATACAGGTACCCAAGAAATGGAGCAAAAATATCAGAATATCAAATGTCAAATGATTAAAAATCTTTAGATGATCAAAAAAAGGTACGCTATATAGTTAGGACAACTATTTTTTTTCAAAAATATCATACAATTTTACAATAAAGTTGATTTTAAAGTTTAAGGTATTCTTAAACATATCTTTCTGATAAAACTTTTGTAAAATGCAACGTCTGTAAGCTCTCTCTTTCACGCAATCTATTTTTCCTTCTTTCTCTTCTCTTCTATTTTCTACTCTTCTCTTCTTTTTTCTTCTCTTCTCTTTTTTTGTTCTTTTTTTGTTCTCTTTTTTCTTATCTTTTCTTTTCTTCTCTTCTCTACTCTTCTGTTCTCTTATCTCTTTTCTTCTCTTCTCTTATCTCTTATCGTCTCCTTTTTGTTTTCTCTTTGTTGTTGACATTTAACCGGTTTTGAGATGAACAATGCAGTACGATCCGTTGTTTTGATTTTTTCTGATTTGTTTACATTTCTAGATTGTAGACCTACTGCGTTTGTACTGTATAATTCGGCATTTGATCATTTGGCATTTGATATTTTGATATTTTTGCGAAATGGAAACATCTGTAATCCTATAGGAAATTCAAACAATAGAAAATCATGTCCGATATACAACGGTATCCTTTCAATCTTTATCTCTAAAGGGAGTGTTCGCGAAAAATGAAAGGGGGTATAGGCTAACGTCGACAAATATTGGATAGTAATTGCTACTAATCTGACTTCTATCTGTTGCGCCTTTAAGGAGAAAATTGTTAAAAACGACTCATTATAACGAAGAACGTAGCGTCAATACAATTTGTAAGCCTATACCCCCTGTAATTTTTCACGGACTCTCCCTTTGAAAAGATGAAGATATCGTCGTTTTCTGATTCATAAATTATCAATGTAGAGAAACCGCAACAGAACATGATTAATTAAATAAAGAAAAACAAAGATTTTTCCATTGAAAGGTTCATAAATTATGTCCACAGTCCCTGTTTAAAAAAAAATTTATTTTCTAAATATTTGTTGATAATATTGATCCTAAACTTAATCTTCTCTTTAATTCTTTAAAAAGAAGATTAGATAGATTAAAAGAGAGAAATTGATCAAACTTGTAAAAATGTTCCAAATAGGTTAAAACTTGTAAAAATGTTCCAAATAGGTTAAAACTTGTAAAAATGTTCCANTTGAATATTTGAGAAACTCAGTGCATTGCTTTATTGATTTTTATTCATATACTATAATAGGTTAAAACTTGTAAAAATGTTCTAAATAGTTAAAAACTTGTAAAAATGTTCTAAATAGGTTAAAACTTGTAAAAATGTTCCAAATAGGTTAAAACTTGTAAAAATGTTCTAAATAGGTTAAAACTTGTAAAAATGTTCCAAATAGGTTAAAACTTGTAAAAATGTTTCAAATAGGTTAAAACTGCGTGGGCCGGGAATTATGATTACAATCACTGGGATCAAAACGGTATTATAGGTAAATATTTATATTTTTATTATTTATCTATCTTTGAAATATCTTCTTACGATCATTAAATTAATTTTATTCCGAGATTTTATATTCAAAAATGAATAAATATAATCATAAACAAAAATAAGAAAAATAACCCTAAAAAAGGCGAAAACTCTTCTATTGAATACCCTTAATCCTGATTGCCTAGTCTCTGTCTCCACTTTGGACACTTTTGATTTTTTCCTAATCCTCTTTTTTGGATATCCCTGCTGAATTCAGACCAAACTGTGCTCTAATTTTCTCGGTTTCTGATTGGCTTTTCGGTTTTTACAATCCACTCTCTGATTGGTTGCATTTTAATTGCTTTCTTGGATAATAATATATTGTATGATTAAATAAAACCTTCAAATTAACAGAAATAGGAGATCAAACATTGATCTCGATATCCACCATTCTAAAGCTTTCCGCTCTAAGCTGGGACTCTTAATGCCGATCGCTTGATTTCGATATTAACGGTGGACACTTTTAGTTTGAGGATCTATAAAAAACTTTCCATATCTTTATTATAGTTTTTCCTTCACTGCACTGATCAAAGCTTCCTTCAATCTCTGTCTGGTTACTATTATTCTGCGGGATATTAAATAAAAATTAACTTATTCCTCAGATTATCAAAGCTTATGAGTATTCAGCACAAATGTTCCCAGTTCTGTGATTATATAATTTCTTAAAATCACTTCAAAAGAAAAAGCTTACAAATGTTTTGAGAAGGGTGTTTCAATGAGATTGGGTTGGGGCTGACCTCTTTTCTTAATTATGTGGTTGATATTTCATAATATTTTTCATTTTTTTGATCCGAGAGTTAATTTTGAAAATAATCATTACTGTTTCGAGAATTTTCGATAATGAAGACGACATTTTCATATTTTCCAGGAATTTTCGAAAATCCAGCGCCAGCCGTAAAAAGAAGTTGTAAGCGAAATACTTATTTAAAAAAACTAAATCGCATGAATCCTCAAGTCACTTCTAAAGTGAACTCTCAGTTGAATATTATCAGTTTTTTAAACAAGGATGGCCGGGTACTGTTGTAATGCGGACATGCCCGTCGTAAAATAACGTTGAAAGTTAGTTCAACAAACTTCTCTCTTTTATTTGTTCTTCCGTTAATTCTAGGTCGGCATCCAGTTCTAGAGAACGTGTTTATGGCCTGTGGATTCTCCGGGCATGGTATTCAACAGGGTCCTGCTGTAGGTCGAGCTATGTCAGGTATACTCAGAAACCAGGGTCCTGATGTAGGTAGAGCTATGTCAGGTATACTCAGAAACCAGGGTCCTGCTGTAGGTAGAGCTATGTCAGGTATACTCAGAAACCAGGGTCCTGCTGTAGTCCCCTCTTATATACGCCACTGAATACTTATTTATTTCTACATACGTAACATACAAACAAATAAATTAATATTTTACCAGATATTATGTCTTTTGCTTTTATGAAATTCCATGAAGTGTGTTCAGTGCAGTGCAGTGCAGTGCAGTGCAGTGCAGTTCAGTGTAGTGCAGTGCAGTGCAGTGCAGTTTGCAATCCGAATACATTCTAGTAATCAAGCTTAATTAGACTTCATTGAATTTTAAAATATCTTTCTCTAGGTTTCTTCTGGTCTAAACTTTAAACACAAATTAAACCAGAGACCGAATTTAAAGAATTTGAACCGCCGAGTCACTAAGCCGCCATCAACCGGTTTCAGGCTTCTCCCTCTTCTCATATGACAATTTCAACTGAAAGTCGCCATTTTTAATCGCTTTTAAAATGTCGAGGATTTTCAAGTTAAATTATAAATGGGTGAAAAGGAACTGAGTTTTTGGTCACAAACTCAAATTGTCTAGTCCCTATATCTTATCATTGTGATGATGCAAACTTTTGATGCTTCAAACTTAAATTATTTGGCCTAACAGAATTCATAGTTTGAAATATCAAAGGTCTACGAAATTGGGTAGCAAAGATATAGAGATTAGAAAAGTAGAGTTTGTGACAAAAACTCAGTTCCTTTAGACATTATTACGGTCAAAATGGCTGAGCTTTAGCCTCAAACTCAAAGGTATTGGGATTTGAACTTATGAGTTATGGCTAAACTCAGTTTCTTTTAATCCATTTTGACTGTCCATAATATAATAATGAATAATGAATAATGAATAACAAAATAATGAAGATTCAAATATAAATAATAAATAAGTATGACAATCTGACAAAATATACTCATACAATAGATTTGCAACAACTAATCATGAGTCATGCATGGAACTTGATGTTAATGCATTTATAAAAGAAGTTGTATTGCCCTTGTCCTAATTGTCATATTATTACTATTGTTTATACACTTGTGCTAAAATGCTAGACACTAATTCAACAATAAATAATGACAACTGCTAGACCAGGATTTACCATTTTCTTTGCTTCCTTCCGTAATGTGATATTCTTCATATAAGTGTGAGAATTTCGTGTATATTGTATAGCGAGAGGAAGGGAGGGTATGACACACCATAAATAGGTTCCGAGCCGTATACAATATCACATTATTTCATAGATTTAATTCAATGGCTTACATTTTATCGGACCCACTTAAAAATAGGAAATCCACTTTTCCCTAAAGTTCCATGTCTCATTTACAATGGAACTCTTTATGTCTTTACAAAAGCAAGTAGCATTAAAGATTAAGATATCATCAGTTTACTTCATTAAAATGTGTTGAATTCCATCAATTGTATTCCTTCTCACTGTCACTAGAATCTGCATGCTATTTTGACAGAGAAACATCAACCCCAAATTACGAATTTTTCAATAAAAAAGGAAATATTTTCATTCTCATAGAATATGGTTTAAGTTTTATTGCTGTAAATAGTACATGCCGCACTAATAACAGAGGGTTACTTGAATAAGCGTCGATCATATACGCAAAGTACAATTAACTTAAGTTCCAAAAATATACCAGAAAAGCTGAGATCTGAAGATAATTCAGTAATTTTTTCTGAAACATTTAAGCTCAAATTTAATTTTGAAAATGGAGGAAATTTAAGATTTAATTAATCTTTTAGTAATACTGCACTAGGCTCCCACTCTACTTTATTGCATCTATTTTTCAATCTGATAATTTAAAAAATGCATTCTTTCTAGGTCTTTAAATTTTCTTTTCTGTTTGATTTTTACAAAAGATTGAAAATCCTTTCTTTCACGACAAAATTTTCCAATTGTATTTTTCAATCCCACCTTTCGCTCTAAAGTACTTTGCCTGATATTTCATGCCTTCAATATGTGGCGGATATTAAAATAATGCATGAATTTCATGCCTTCAATATGTGGCGGATATTAAAATAATGCATGAATTTCAGAGAGATAATACAAATCCCATGTATGACGAATATGCCACTTAATAAATGGAGATTCATTTAACAATGTTAACAAATTTTTTGCTGGCGCTTCGTGCCATTAACGCCATTACTACTTAATTAGACTTTGTCGTTAACAATTTCATCAAATTTTAAAAAATTTATTTATGCGCTTCGTACCGTTAACGCCGTTAATAAAATTCGTTAACTAACGGTATCTTTAAACAAAACAGAAAATACCATAAACGAATTGTTCCATTATTACCTTTAAAATTAACGGCTACCTGAAATTTTTATTTTTAACATTTGGAACTAACCGTTAACGAAACGGCTAGAAAAAGTTGGAACGTGCCCAGCCCTACTCCCACCCCTTCAATATTTTCTGTTCTTTTTCCTCCTTCTCCCTCAGTTTTATTCTCCAGGGTACATTAAAGCTCAGAATATAAAGTATATGTAAAATGTTCTAGAAAAATACAGTTTCTTCATGCATAAATATTTTTCTGTTCTCTCACGACAAGAATAAAAACATGCATGTAAGGAGACCAGGTAAATTTACGTCATACTTTATGATATGTATGCGTCATCAACAATTAAGGCAACGAGCATGCAAACATATAATTAAATTATTAGAAATATTATTATAATCGTGAATTGTATAATTATGTAATTAAAAAACGGATTTAATAGCGGAAATCCATGAGTTCCACGTTTCTTGGTTTATTGAGAAAACGGTTAAGCATATAGCATGTATCATAGCGTGGCCTGCAGGGTTAAAAGATTTTACTAGGGGATGAACATGAAAAATTAATCTCCATTTTCCGTAGCTTCCAATAATGCTTTAGTGGTTAGGAATTTTCGATGGGGGAGCCATTGCTTCAAGGAGATCCCCTGTATCCGCCCCGACCATTAAACGTACAACAGCAAGGAAATATAATTGAAAGAGACAATTGACAATTAAACGTACAATACAGAGTGTCCCATATCATATTAGATTATCAACAATTTTTAACGCCAAAATACGCAAATAATACGCGAAAAATCTAGCATTTTCTGCCAACAAAATTTTCTATTAGCCTTATTAAATTTTTAAAATGATTCATTCTTCATAAATTTTCTGAATTATCCCCCAAATCGTAATTTAGACCCATTGACGCGGTCTAATTTGATGTGGGACACCCTGTAGCAAGAAAATATGTTTGTAAGAGACAATTGACAATTAAACGCACAACAACAAGGAAATATGATTGTAAGAGACAATTGACAATTAAACGTGCAATAGCAAGGAAATATGATTGTAAGAGACAATTGACAATTAAACGTACAACAGCAAGGAAATATGATTGTAAGATACAATTGATAATTAAACGTACAACATCAAGGAATTATGATTGTAAGAGACAATTGACAATTAAACGTACAACAGCAAGGAAATATGATAGAAAGAGACAATACTCATGATAATTCTGAAAGTTTTCTTGGAAGTATCATCCTTTGTAAATACATTTATAAATCTGTTGTTTAGAGTGTATACTGGACGGAGGGTTTAAGACCTTGGATCTCTCAAGGTTCGGGTTCGAAAGACTCCAACGTCAAGAGAAGGTTCTGGAGAGAAATATTGTTTAGATCATATTTTTGGAAAAAATAAAAATGAAAATATTTTATGAATGTTTTACAAAGTTGTAAAAAGTTGGCGAACTGAGTAGAATTGTGTTTCAAGTTTTATTCAATTTTAAACTTGGAAACATGAAGAGAATGTAAAATGTTTTCAAATATCATAAGGGTAATGCACAAAACTTAATTAACTTTAGATATTTTTAAAGCCGAAAAAGTGCTGTAACTAAAATGAAATGGGATAAAAGGAATGCTGAAAAGGAATTCTTATTAAAATAAAAATTTAAGTAAGAAAAACCCACAAATTATTTCACATTTTAATTTTCAAACACAACAAACTCAAAGGTTTAAAGTACTTATGAAAGTAACTGTAGACGTAATTTCAAGTGACCCGAGACATATTTACAAAAGTAGCGTGTTGGATTCACAGTTGTACACTTTAAAACATTTTATGATTAATAATGGAAGAAATTTCCATGTTTTAAATTGATTATTTCTCTATAACCGTGACTTTCGAATTTGAGTCGCAGAGACTATGGAGGAAATTAACGAAATTAAAAACTTGCCAAGCAAGAAAAACGACAGTATCGTTCACGTTATTGATTAGATAGAAGGGTATCGTTGTAAATCGGTTAAGTGCCTTTTTTAAGCAATATGACTTTGGATACAATTTTTCATTCCCCTGCAGATGAAAAAATACCTCCTAGCTAATAAACGAAATGAAAATCAAATTTGTGAGAATTCCTTTAATCTTTAAACCACTGGGTGGAAGGGTAACATAACTTTACTTTAAGCTTCACATATATATATATTGGTCTACAGTGTAGTTAAAATATTTAAATAATAACTGAGCTGAGTGTAAATTCAATTATAAACCACAAACTGGAATATTAACCTAACCTTGGTTCACAGATTACCTTGTTTCTTCTAAACCTTTTTTATACCACCAGACATTATTTTACCAATAGACGCAATTATACAATGTGAAATAATTGTTCATAATATGACGCGAAATAACTTCCATATAACACTGCAATTTTGGTTCGCAGTTTTAGAAAGTTTTTAGACAGAAATTTTCACTTTATCGAGAACTTTAGCGAGGGATATAATATAATCTAAAAAGGCGAGAACCTTCAAGAAATAGAGAACATTTCTGTCCACGTCGTGTCAAAATAATAGAGTTAAAGGTAATTTTATGAAACGTTTGTGTACTTATTTCAATGACTATTTCTAGATCAAATAAACTTATGAGCAAAGCAGAAGTAAATAAAGTTGATTTCAATTTAATTTTCATTTCAATTGAAAAACAAATTTGGAAATATCCTAAATTTTTTGAGGAAATCCGGGAACCAATCAAAACTTTATAGCACACGTGCTATAATGTACAGCTAATTTAACTTTGTATTACGATGTTTACTTTGTAGCACGTTCATTATGAAATTCACGATGAAGTGAGGAAGAATGATTAAGCATAAATCTATATTTTTTTTCTATAACTTTTAACTCTAAAACTTTTTATATCTTTGTTGATCCTAGTGAAACAAGGTTATTCTTCTACTAGTTGACAGGGTTGTTTTTCTATCAGTAGACAGGGTTATTCTTTAACAAGTAGACAGGGTTATTCTTCTACTAGTTGACATGGTTGTTTTTGTACCAGTTATAGACAGGGTTTTTCTTTTACAAGTAGACAGGGTTATTCTTTTACAAGTAGACAGGGTTATTTTTTTACCAGTAGACAGGAGGTTATTCTTCTACTAGTTGACAGGGTTGTTTTTCTACCAAGAGACAGGGTTATTCTTTTACAAGTAGACAGGGTTATTCTTCTACTAGTTGACATGGTTGTTTTTGTACCAGTTATAGACAGGGTTTTTCTTTTACAAGTAGACAGGGTTATTCTTTTACAAGTAGACAGGGTTATTTTTTTACCAGTAGACAGGATTATTCTTCTACTAGTAGACAGGGTTATTTGTCTACCAGTAGACAAGGTTATTCTTTTACTAGTAGACAGGGTTTTTTTCTCTACCAAGAGACAGGGTTATTATTCTACTAGAAGACAGGGTTGTTTTTCTACCAGTAGACAGGGTTATGTTCTACTAGTAGACAGGGTTATGTTCTACCAGTAGACAGGGTTATTCTTCTACTAGGGGAAAGGGTTATTTTTCTTCCAGTAGTAGACAGGGGTATTCTTCTACCAGTAGACAGTGCTATTCTTCTACCAGTAGACAGTGGTATTCTTCTACCAGTAGACAGGGTTATTCTTCTACCAGTAAACAGGTTTATTTTTCTACCAGTAAACAGGGTTATTCTTCTACTACGATGGTAGGCAATTATATCAATAGATTGAAGACGACTTTCGATTTCAATTTAGATTTATAAGAGGCTGTTAAACAGCATGGATACAGATAAACGTAGAAGTCAAGAGAAGCTGTTAATTGAAAAAGCTTCTCTTTGATTACTTGTAAACTTGTAAAAAAGCTTGTTAACAATCTAAACTTAAAGAAAAAATTCGTTTTCATTGTATTGATAAAGTCGTCTACCACTGTAGTAGACAGGGTTATTCTTATACCAGTAGACAGAGGTGTTCTTCTACCAGTAGACAGGGGTATTCTTCTACCAGTAAACAGGGTTATTCTTCTAACAGTAAACAGGGGTATTCTTCTACTAGTAGACAGAAGTATTCTTCTACCAGTAGACAGGGGTATTCTTTTATCAGTAGACAGAGGTGTTCTTCTACCAGTAGACAAGGGTATTCTACCAGTAGACAGGGGTATTCGTCTACCAGAAGACAGAAGTATTCTTCTATCAGTAGACAGAGGTGTTCTTCTACCAGTAAACAGGGGTATTCTTCTACCAGTAGACAGGGGTTTTCTTTTACCAGTAGACAGGGTTATTCTTTTACCAGTATACAGGGTTATTCTTCTACCAGTAGTAGACAAGGGAATTCTTCTACCAGTAAACAGGGGTATTCTTCTACCAGAAGACAGGGGTATTCTTTTACCAGTAGACATGGGTATTCTTCTGCTAGAAGACAGGAATATTCTTCTATCGGTAGACAGGGGTATTATTCTTTCACCGGATAGATAGATAGATAGAAAGAAAAATAAATAGATTGATAGATAGAAAAGATAGATAGATAGACAGATAGCTGGGTAAATAGATAGATAGATAGATATGTGAGAGTGAAAGACCTGTTGACCTGGTTTCTATAAACTAGACTGAGAAACTACCTTAAATTGTATCCTAGGGCAATACTGGGGGTTGCCATCAAATCTAGTATTTACGCATATTTACGCAACCACCTGTTTATACGCATATTTACCCCATGACTTAATTATTAATAAAGCAGGCTTTGTTTGCACGCGAAGTATTTGATTAGACGGACTAACTGACGTCTTGGTGTTATTATGATAATTTATTACTATAATTAAAGTAAAACGAGGAATTTAAACAAGGTCAGCTTCTTTCTCAAGAAAGGGAAAACAAGAGCCTGAGTAAATTAATTAAAAAGTGAAAATATTCTTTACCGTTTAATTGTTAAAGGATTTTCGTCTCCTACTCTGTATTTACATCCTTCTTCTCTCAATATACAATTTTATCTGTATCCTTCTCCTCTCTATTTACACTATTATCTGTATCTTTCTCCTCTCTGTTTACAATATTATCTGTATCTTTCTCCTCTCTGTTTACAATATTATCTGTATCTTTCTCCTCTCTGTTTACAATATTATCTGTATCCTTCTCCTCTCTATGTACAATTTTATCTCTATCCTTCTCCTCTCTATGTACAATATTATCTGTATCCTTCTCCTCTCTATGTACAATATTATCTGTATCCTTCTCCTCTCTATGTACAATTTTATCTGTATCCTTCTCCTCACAATATAAAATTTAATCGGTATCCTTCTCCTCTCTATTTACAATTGTATCTTAATCCTTCTCCTCTATTTACAATTGTATCTATATCCTTCTCCTCTCTATTTAAAATTATATCTTTATCCTTCTTCTCTCAATGTACAATTGTATCTTTATTCTTCTCCTCTCTAATTTTATCTTTATCCTTCTCCTATCCCTTCTCTATTATCTTATTAAAATTGTATCTATTTTGATTCAACTTGATCTCACAAAATTTGATAGAAACTCATAAAATCTAACAGAATCGGAAAAATACTTATAAAATAATTAACCAAATAGAAAAATGTTCCACGGTATTCTCATTCTTTTACTCTCTTTTATAATTGTTTTTTCCTCTTTATAAAACAAAGCTTCCAATAATTGAGAACACTCCCTTTCTGTTCACCAAGGATTGATAAAGTTTTCTACATTCATCTAATTCCTCTTCATTTCTTGTTCAGAAGCAATCTTGCTGATTTTATTCTATTACTCTCTCGAGAAATCTTCATCAAATATTCCTTTAGTTAATGACGTCATAGAGACACAATACTAATGGAGGTGGATTTTCTCATTTTTTACACATTCAAATTTTTGACTTTTAGAAAAGAGTAATTTAAAATATGTTTTGCAAGTATAATGCAACTGGACGGTCAAACGGTGGGCGTAAAAGATCTAAAATTAAAGCTGCAGACCTAAGTTAACATTTTTAAAAATGGTGATAATCCCATGAGTCACATCTTATCATTATGAAAGCAACTTTATTACATTTTTTTTTCAATGCTTCTGCTAAAAAATTCCAGTAAAAATAAAATTTAAACTGTCAAGTATAAATTATTAAATATTTTCACTTTTTGAGTTTTGGAAGACAATTTTGAAAATATCACGAAATTCCACAAAACTCAATTTTTACGACTGTGTGTCAGAGAGACCAGGGCTTGTGGGTTAATAAACAGGAAACAGGAAACAGGAAGCAGAATAAAGAAGGGAAAGTTCGAATATTGCACAATGAGTAAAAAATAAGGTCAGGGATCAATTTGAAATATTAGGTTGCTAGACACAAGCTTATCAATAATGGTAATCAATTTTTCTAAAGGAAGGAAATAAAAACGTTGAGCCTGTAAACGTAATATTATGGCAGGAGAGTAAATGATGATTGTCAAAAATATGCAAATAAGTTTTTAACTTTAATAATTTATTTTAATTAAATTTTAAAATATTTTAAAATTTTTTTATGATATCAGATGCAAATATTTTGAGATTTCTATATTTCTTGTTCTTCATTTTTACTTCTTGATCGTCCATCTTCGTCCATCCTTCAATCATGCTTCAGCCAATTTTGAAAATAAAAAGAAATTAATTTGTTGGATGTCCTTGCAGTTAGCCAAATTGCAAGAAAGAACTATATTTCTGAACCCTGTGTCTCAGAACTATTCTGAATTCTTGAAGTCACGAGGGGGGGGGGTGAGAGGAGCAAAGTCACTACCCTTTCCCCTTGCATTGCTTTCATATTTTGCTTGAGTCAGCATTTTACACATTTTCCAGCATTTTTTATTTGAGGAAATATTTTCCAAAATAAAAACCCCTATAGAGGGAATGGGATTCAAAGGAAGACAGAAGAGTAATCCCAAGAGACCAAACAGGGGGTAACTTTGCCCTCAGTTGAGATAAGAGAGACTCAGTTTAAAAATGCAGCTTTAGCAGGGAGATATTTCCTGGAATGAAAACCCTTGCGACAAGAACAGGAGTTATAGATGAACAACTGAGGGATTGAAAATGATGAGAGGTGCAAATGAGCACCCTGCTCCAGAGAGAGATCAGGACGTTGTCGGGCGGATACTTCGCCACTATGACGCGGAGATCAATGTTCCTTTCTTGCCTGATTTTTGACAATAATCATAGTTTTGCATATGGCCGAAGAGAATAACACCAAACTTTTGAAAAAGAAAAAAATCCAAGATTTGATCGTAACAACCTGATCATGTCCTGGAGACAAAAACATCTCTTTTGTTTTTCAAAAATTTGTAACAATATTACAAAGAGCAATTGCAAAAAATACATTAAGCAGAGATCTGAATAAATCCTTCTTACTAAGCTATTAACTACCGCACTCCATGTTATTAAGGGATTAGAAGAAAATAGGTAATGTAACATCGTCTATACGTAACATTCCCCCTACTAAACATCTGACCTACTAACTTTCCAACCTACTGCAATATCGGACCTACGTCAGCTGTTTATTTTTGTATTATTTGAGGGTTAGGTTAGCTTAAGACAATTTCTGGGCCAAGCGTTGCTGCTAGGACAGGCTAGCAGCTGTAAAATAACGTGTTAGTAGGTCGGATGTGTAGTATAGCGGATTTGGCGTAGGTCAGAAGTGGAGTATAGCGGATTTCCGTAGGTCGAAAAATACCCCTTTGAAAAATACTTTTTTTCACTTGATTTAAAAATATTCAATTTCAAAAATACGTTTTTTCAATTGGTATCATAAAAGCTTTATGCAAATACATATCTTTGCTTTATAGTAAAAAGAAAAAAGTAAAACAATTGGCAAAAGGAATTTTGGTTTCAAGTTCTCCAAAAAATATTATTACCGCATTTTCAAAAATAATACGTGATGACATTTTTTGTCAGATAAGCTGTTTCAAAGCCACAAATCCAAATTTTCTAATCCCTATCTTTTAAAAAGGAAGGTCTAAACCTGTGAAATAATATCAAATATCAAAGGTCGTCGTTGGGCTGCAAAGATATAAGGAATATAAAATCTGATTAATTGTGGCAAAAACTTATTTCCTTTCACTGAACCTTTCCTTAGCTGCAGGTCAAGTGACACCATATGTTTCAGTAGAAGTAAATATTTCCATTTACTGTTAAAGCGCCGATATAAAGATTTATCTCTAATTGGATAATGAGCTAGATAGAAAGATAGATGTCATCGCCAAACTATTTCTATTGGTTCAGAATAAACAACAAACACGTGACTGAACCCTGATTGGATCAGGTCCTAATGCACTCGGCATACAAGAGTGGTGAGTTAAGAAAAAAAGTTGTTTCGACTAGTTTAGCCGTTTTGACGTTATATTGGATATATAACTAAACAGAAACACATGCAGAGCTTATATATAAAAATAAGACAAATCTATTAGAACTAGGCTTTACGCTCACATTTCTTATTATAATATTAGCTTTTTGTTGCGGATCTTTGAGCAACAACAACATAAAATTTAGCAGATTTACTTGTTTTTCTTGGCGGATTTCCAAAGTTTTGTTGAGGCACCGTTTTTATTTCTTTTCGCCTATAAACATTCTCTAGGGTCCTGTGATTTCCAAAAAAATGTGGGCCTTATCAGCTTGCCAGTTTGATGTGTATTGGATAAAAAAGAAACAAACCAAAATACAGACAAACAGACAAGTCTAATATATTTATATAGATTTGGCAGTATTGGTGTAATAATATCTCTTCAATATCGTAAAACAAGATAAGTTTTTCATTTTATTGCAACATTTTAATGACACTAAAAGTTACATAAATGATTCAGTCAAATTAAAGACACAGCGATCAGGACATTATTTTTTATCATGATTTGTCTCAGTAATTAAGATAAAAAGCATGATCGATGTATCCCTTGTATACAATATTCACATTACGCCTAATTTAGGCTACTGGCGCTCGCGAAAGCAGTAAAAGGAACTTCCTTTTATATAATTACATTTTTCTCTGTATAATGATTTAAATACGATTACATTTTACGATAAAGTGTCTATTCGTCGGTTGTCCTAAATTGAGCAGTGTCGATAAGTTTGTAATTTAAGGGTTTTGATTATCATCTGAAGCTTAGAGGTTGAAGTTTAGAAGAAATAATTCTTCTCGTTACACTGGTCGTACAGGAGTTCACAATCCTCTCCATTCAGACCAGCTTCAACTGCTCGGGAGTACTTACCCAGACCACTCATACGGGCACTAAAAAAATACAATATTTAGTCTTCAATCATTAAATTAAATGACCTGAGATGAGAAGTATTTAAACCTTTGAAATAATAAATTTTTAAAAAGTTATTAGTCAGAACAATTCCAAAATATAGGCAGCAAGTGTACGAAAATGATCAAAGGAACTGGCAATTGACTTAAACTCTAATTTTACCACCCCTATATCTTTGAAACATGATGGTGTTTGATTTTTAGCACAATCCAAAGTTTGAAATATATCAGGTTCCAAAGATATAAGCATTATAAAATTAGAGTTTGAGACGAGTAATTAAGCTTACTTGATAGTGTTGATGGCTAGGCTGGCAATAGGGTTGTTTGCAGCAGCTCTCTCAGCAATACAAACAGCTCTATACTTGCAGGCCTCGTTCCTCACGTTCATGGTGTTCAACGCAATCTCGGTGAAATCCAAGCTGAACAAAGATTAATTAATATATCGTTATAAAAGGTAGGTTTAACCAAGACATATATCAGGAACTACAATATCTGTGTTCTTATAATAAGTTTCAAGGAAAAATTAAAACTAAGTTTGTTTACATTACTTCCAGAAACTACAGTACACTTTTTATGTAAACAAAGATATGGTATTTCTTGGCATATTTCTTGAGTTTAACATGCATAACAAATAAGAAATGAAATTCTATCATTGAAAAAACTACTTAAAATTGTGTTTCAGGAAAATTAGTTTTATGTAAAAAACATGTCAGACAAAAAACATATCAAAGAAATCCATTAAAAAGAAAATTTTACAGTTTTAAAACATTTTTATCTTTTACCAAACATGCATTTTAAATGTTATGATTTGTAAAGTATTCATTTATACGTGCAATAAAAAAATACTGGTTTTTACACATAAATATTTTGTTTTGTGTAATAGTATAAACCATAACCGAAAATTGCATGCAAATAAGTGGTTAAATGAACGAAAATGTTTTGTTGATTGTTTATGATTTAAAACTTTTTTTGCGGTTTCTTGAAAACTAAAAAAATGTAGTTTTGTGGGCTTATCTCAAAATTAAATTGGGCTAAGGTTTCCCCAAGATGTAAACAGTTTCCATAGTTTGAATCCTATTCATTGTATTGATATGAACTATCCAATTTCATGGAGCAATAATATCAAATGGTTTCTAGCCAACCAAATCAGAAACCTGGGCAAAAAAAGAGGGAATTCCCATAATTTTCATGGAGAAACCTCGAATAAAACCTTAAATAAGCATGGGGAAACCTTGAATAAGCCTGAGAAATCTTGAATAAGCCTGGAGAAACCTTAAATAAGCCTGAGGAAACCTTGAATAAGCCAGGGAAACATTTAATAGGCCTGAGGAAACCTTGAATAAGCATGGGGAAACCTTAAATAAGCCTGAGGAAACCTTGAATAAGCCTGAGGAAACCTTGAGATTTATTAATTACTACTATATGTATGTACATGCAAGGTCTGTTAGTTAGTAAGGAAGAAACATATTGATAACATTTTTAATTTAGCCAATCAGCTGGTTTATCAGTCACTTCCTATCCAACATATATCTACCTAATACTGAATCTATACTATCAAATATTTTATGATGTTGATTATATTGCAGCTAAACTAGTTCTGCTACAATACTGTGTTGGAGTTCTATACTTTCTTCTATTCTAGTGCTCTTGACTAGAAAAATCTACCTATTAAACAATGATTTTGCTTTTGTCATCAATTCATTCTTTAGACTCCGTCCTTCATATCCGTAGTAGCTACCGTAGTTAGGATAATTATACTGAACGTCATTATAGTAGTAGGTTTCATACAAGTCTTCTGTATTACTACTCCTCTGCAGGTTGGATAGGTTTAGCCCATAGAAAGATGCAATCAGAATACAGATGACTCCAACCAACAGAAGAGTCATGGCACCTTTAAGAACTGCTATGACAATCTCTTCCATTGTATCAGCAAACACTGGAAAATTATTCATTATCAATACCTTTCATAAATATCCTTTCCTTAATAAATGTGATTGAATATTCATATCATGCATAGTGCCGATTGTATGTCTGTATGTAGTGTGCCAGCCCATCTCCACATGTAAGCATGTCAGCTTACTACCTGTTCATCACACGGGAACCAAAACCATTCAGAGCTCTAGCATAACCTTGATAATCAGGAGGACTGTACTCATCAGAGCTGTATTCTACTGGATCAGCATACTCAAGAGAAGCAGGAGAATCATCATATCCAGGGTTGAATGCTTCATTAGCTGCTGTAGCTATATAATCAAGCTTAAAGCCCAGAGCATAGTATGCAACTACAACTACTGCAGCCGCTATAACACCTGGTATCGCTAGATTTTTGGCCATTTGTTGAACATCGTCAATCGTTCCATCAAAAACTAAATGTGTTATTTTATTTATTAAAAAGTAAATGTTTCTGTACCTACAGATATGTTATGTGTATGCAGAAAACCATTCCATATTGCTATATAAAGAAAATATGAAAAACTGTACTGAAACCAAATGTTTTTAAATTTAATTTTAACTTTATCTTACATCAAAGACAAAACTAAAAAACAACCATTGATTTTCTCTTTAGCCGCAAAGTTGAATGTTATCAGACTTTGAAACTAGGATTTCTAACTACTGCATTACGTTACTATAGCTTTCAAGCACATCAACTTGTACGGTATTTGTACCTATTGTACGTACTGTCAATTCCAAAGAAATCATAATTCTTGGCAGAGCGTCCAGTGTTCCCCAGTATATCAAGTCCATTAGGTCCAGTATAATCAATAATCTCAGCGAAAGTATATACTGCTACACTAGCTTGTAGTATGATAAGTCCAGCAAGGAGTAGAGCAATGATTATGAAAATTACAGTTATTCCAGGAGTCCCATTTATGAGAGCTGAGAAGGACTGTAGTATACTTTCAGCACCTTAATATTATATGAAATCATGTCTAGGACCTTCCATCAAATGTTCATCCTGTAGAAAATGGGTGAATTGGGGGAACTGGAAAGTAGGGATTAAAGCTGACAATGTTGAGATCACAGATTAAACAGACTGCGCATACACTCTACCTTGATAGGCTAAGTGGGCCTAAAGTGTCCCGGCACGCCGTGATACAGTTTTGACCGGCATCTAACGGCCACTTGTTGCATATAATACCCATTCAGAGGTTACTTATACAACGTTAAAAAAATACTCCAATTTTTTACAAGATTCATAACATTTATGAGTTTAGTCTATTTTTGAAGATTTTGTATTTTGTATCCAAAGGATCCTTAAATATCCCTGAATACAGATGTCCATGCTGATTGGTCATGTACATCACTTGTACACAACAGAACATGCTATTGAAAATATCGCATATCATAGGTTTCCACTGATCTCTGTTACTCTTTTATCTCTGGTTGAGATTCATCAAGTTAACACAAGATTTTACATAAGTTCTTTCCCCATTTTCCTCTTACTGTGTTTCCTGATATTCATAGGTTTACAGAAACTATCTCTTTTTATATGTCCAGTTAAAACCTTAAAATGTCAGGCTATAAAATATCAAATATTTACATAACAAATATCACCAGTTTACTGCCCAGGTATCTATCTACAGCACAAGACATGTTAGTATATAGCTTGCAGGCAAATCAAGTTCAATTTATACCTATTGTATGCATTTCCAATTCCAAGGAAATCTAAATCCACTGTGGAACGTCCGGAGTTACCAAAGATGTCAATTCCGTTAGGTTCGCCAAATCCAAGAAGACGATAGGCAATGTAGATTACGAAAGCAGCTTCAACGATAATAATTCCAGCAATGATGAGTCCGATGGCTATAACCCCATATACAGGGATCCCCGTAGCCAGGGATGTCAGAGTTTGCATTAAATCTAAAAAGAGAATTTAATAAACAATGCAATCACAGTGCTCCTGGCCACCTAAAACAGGAATTAACCCCCTGTGAGTAGTGAGTATATCCGGGTTAGGTAAGATGCACCACCCACATGCTCTGAGTTTCAGTCCCAATATGCTGGACCCATTAGTATTACAGGAGTTGATCTCTGTCTCTGTGTACCTATTGTACATATCTCCAATGTACTCTGTGACCCTACTGGTGAAGGATGTGTCCTCTAAAGATCTACCCGATGCTGCTGAACCGAATAGTGCAGCTAATACAAAAGTTCCAACAACATCTATAGCAAGCAGCACAAGTACAGCAATACCGATGGTACCCCAATCAATGGGACCATCGAACAATCTTTCAATAGGATTACCTTAATAACGTCATTAGAAATTAATATAACAAATTAATTATCATTTGAGTTTGGAAAATTCTAGAATAAGAGAGAAAAATAATAAAAACCTGATGATAATGAAAACGGATTACTTTTCTCAAACTCTGATTTTCTAATAGTGTAAACCTATGATATTTCAAACTTTGACTTTTTGATCTAACAGAATTCGTATTTTGAAAGTTCTAAAATGTTAGGTTACAAAGATTTAAGTATAGGAAAATTACAGAATTTGAAGTAAACAATTACTTTCTTGATATGTAATTGGATTAGAATTACTTTGAAAACCATCATTGCACTATGTCCAAATTAAATTTAGTTTTCCATTTATAATTTTTATAGTTATGGACTCTGGGATCTACAAAAACATTTTTTCCGTTGTAAATCGCATTAAATTGTTTTACTCATAAAGTTCTTATCATGACCCCCTGCCATACCAAGCCCCATTAATCTGTGTCCCACATTGACTCAGTATCCCTTCCCATCCTAGTCCTGAGGCTGTATACTCCTCCTATAGCCTGGCATCCCACCTCTCTTATCTTCATATCTCCGCCCCAAACTTTAAAATTTCACTTTCCGCCCAAAGTACACTAGCTGGGGGAATTATACCAACATTTGATTTTCCCGGATTTTCTAGATTTATTATCCACAGATTTATATTGGAAAAACTGCAAGTTTGTGTGAGATTGCAAGAGCTTGACATCTGAGGGCAATAACATGACCTAGAACTGAAAGTGAAACTATGGTCTAGTAATTTATAAATTTAAACCAGTTCGGGATAATACTTGCATCTATATATCCTAAAAAGAAGGGAAACAATTGAGCTTGGGTCCATGGATAATGCCAACTTTTATATAAAGAAAATCTATGAATTTTTTATTTGTTTTAAGTTGTAAGAAACCCTACCTACTGTTTGTCGTTTAACAACATTATGTTCCTGTTCAGGGTTGGGATATGCTGTAGCAGCACCAAGCACAGCGAGGAGAAATAAAGCTTTCAGCATTCTAAATACAATATTGGTAAAGATTGGGTTAAAGGACTGTTCACGTAGTGTCAAGTGATTTCATACCCGATTTACCTTTTAAACTTTCGTCTGAGTAAAAAGGAATTGTTTATCTATCTTTTGATTGATAATATTCTATTGTGAATTTTCTCTAAAAATGACTTACGCATCTGTGCAGCATAGACAAAGGAGGATATTGTAAGAATTCAACATTTTTCCAATCTTTAAACCAACAATATCTTCCTCATTGTTACTGAGATAGAAGTTTAAAGGACAGCAGTGTAACTTTATAACTCGGGAAAGTAACTCTATTTTAATGGCGGGGGGGGAGGGGGGGGGGCCTCAAATTAAATGAGACTCATTGCGTTAAATTTTAATTATCATGCTTTGAAGAGTTATAATGTAAAAGATGCCATGAATTATGTCTAACATGACAAACAAAAAAAAGTTTTGACAACTAAGATAATTTTCTCATTGTAATCAATATTAACTAAGGCTCATCTAGATAAAAAGGGGAGGCGTAAAAAAAGAAAAAAGGGTCAGTCATCAAACAACCTTCCCCCGTTTCCCAAATTTTTCCCAGCAATTATTTATTATAAATCTTAATTTTTAATAGTTGAATCTAGAACCCCAAGTTAATAAAAGATAGTTTGTCACCCAAAACTGCATTTTTGATTTTTCCCCCACAGTGATCCAAAGGTGGCAAGACGTCAAAGTCGACCCGATCTTGATAATCAATGTTTATAGCAGTCCGGATCTATGTGCTCCATTCATTGCAAGTTTAAATGAAATTTTTTGAAACTCTACTCTCTAATGGCTTCTATGCGTATAGAGAATAAGGATTACCTAATTGTTAATATCCGTTAAACCTCTCTTAAGTAACCGTGAAGACCTTCTTTAATCTCAAAGGATTCGTATCTCAATTTATTTTAGATAAGAATGAAGGAATGAAGGAAGATGAAAATTATTTGATTATTTGACAATATTCTTACTTGATTATATGTGTATCTTCTAGAGATGTGAACAAACTGAAAACCAAGTTGAAACTGAAGAAACCATCTAACCAGCAAATAGGTTAAATTCCCCAGCTTTGGCCCGCGCCCTCCCCCTCCCTCCCCCCTCGACCTTACGCCTTCATACCCCCATACACAGTCCTAGCCGCGCTTATACATACTTAGGAATTCTAGCAGTATGCCTTTGTTTCCTATTCTATACTTCTGGACCAGGGGGTGTAAAGGGGGGGAGGTCAATTCTGGGAAAGGAAATGGGGGGGGGTAAGGACATAATATGGGTTATACCATGCGGATATACAAAGAAGGGTTTGACAACCATTTATGATATGTTATAAATTCTATTGTATAAGACTTGACTCAAATGATTACAATGTTACATATGTGGGTTTCAACCCTCAAACTCTCAAATCACAACATCATAATAATTTAATAGCGGGATGTTAAGTTACTTAACTGTCCCTTTGGACAATTAAGTAAAATAACATCCAGCTCTGCAAGTTTTCGTGAAAAAATCGCGCATATCTATCTCCTAAATTGTGAACAATTTTTTTTCGGGAAATTAAAATTTTAAATTACTTTACTTAAAAAGAATTTTAAAAGTTTCAAATCTGCAGCCAGATTGATAATGCCGGAATGTTTACCAAAAAACAGTTTTCTCAAATTAATTATTTACAAAAATTATTACTTTGGTGGAATTGTTAAATCATTTAATGCAGAATTTGATTTCAACTCGAAAAATATGAAAAATTAAACAATTTTAGTAGTATAGCATTGAAATGTTAACTTCAGGTTATCGCTCTCAAAGTTTTAATACTTTGATTTTTGTAATCATTTATTCTCTTATGCTGTAGTGGTTTATGATTCCTGAAAATCTATTCTTAATATTTCTGAGAAATAATTTATCTTTAAACCCTTTTCTTTTAATTTCGGGACAAAACAAATGTTTCCACATTACAAATATTAATATATTCCTTTTTTATAAATTGTAGAGGATGAAATCCCCGAAAGAGGATTATAAAATCCTATATATATATATATATCATAAATATGATTTGCTTGTCTGTCTGTCAATCCGTTTGTATCCACTAACCGTCAAAACGGCTGAACCGAGCGGACCTAAATTTAGAGTGGTACCTCAAAAATTACAATTAAATCCGCGAACTTTTTTGTTATTGTGTGATGATGCTCACGTAGAACCAAAATTAATAGTTGAAATGAAAGATGGGCGCGAAACGCCCTAAAGTTGCTTTAAAGTTTGCTAAAAATTAAAATTAAAAATTGCTTTAAAGTTTGCAATATTAAATATATATATAGATAAAAAAAATATAATTTGCAGCGAAAGTTCGTCAGTTCAAGTTTTAAAACAGTGCAAAGTTGTTGATTTCGCTAAGATTAATTCAAATAATTCAGGTGTTTTCGTCAGAACATTGCCAATCAGGTTATTTAGAAACTTTGCTAGTTTAAAAGGAATTGAGTCTTTTCCACAAACTCATATTTTCTAATTCCTAGGTCTTTGCTCTCCAATGTCATAGACCTTAGATATTTCAAACAATTAATTCTTTTAGAGCAAAAATCTAAATTTGAAATATCAAAGGTGGGGGGCGTTTGCCGCGTTTGGCGCCCCCCCCCCATTGAAAAAGGCCGTAGAGAATAGGCATAGGGTTGAAATGCATTGCATAGCCCAATTTTTCATGGGCAGCTCAAAGAAAAAAAATTAGACGTATAAATTTAATAGTTTGGGTGCTAGGGAGGATGGGAAAAAATCCTAAAAAAGGCTCGAAAAATTAATTGTTTTTAGATTTAGTCATAAAAAAGTTATGGGCTATTTTAGATTTTTTTTCACAGACCGGACTTTTTTCCGCCCTGTACTTTACCCTATAAATTAAAAGTTATATGTTTTTAACAAAAATTCCTTAAAATCACTATTCATTTAATGTCACTAAATTTCACGCTGTTAGTGTCAAAAATGAGAGTCCTGGGACAAAAAAACTACAGGGGGGGGGGCGCCAAACTGTTTAGGGTTAACCTCTGATCAAAATGAAGTGCATTCATAGCTTTTCAATGCAAAGAAAACAAACACAGAGAAACTTGTAGGGCAACATTCCGATATGGCAGCTTGTAAAATCAATTTAATAAAAAATGCAATTTACTCTGGATCAAATAGCTCAATTCTTTGCAATTAAAGTTTTTTTTTGTGACGGATGTTTTTTTATTTATAATAAAAGGGTTTATAAAATTTTAGCAACTTTTTATAAAATGGAACCAAAAGAAGATAAATACATTGTTTTAACGGCTGAAAAATATGTCTATCTGTCTAATTTTAAAGGGACTGTCGTTTTGATTTAAAAAAAGAATGACATGTCCGAGTCTCAATTCGGTACCCTTAATATCTGCACCTAATCAATATTGTGGAAGATATTGTCGTTATTTTTTTTTGCAGGAAAGTGTTTAATTGTTCCAGTTTCAGAAAAAAATAAAAATGTTATTCTTACTTGATTAGACAAAGCTTTTAAGGGTCCGCTATAAGAGAAATGGACTTGCCACTTTTTAAATTGAGATTCACTCGAAATGACGGTTACAGTCCCTTTAAGCTATTTTTCAACTATTTGAATATTGTGGAAGAGAACTAAGAATAGATGTATAATCTCAGGGTCTATTGTTTCGTTAAGACCGAGAAGTATTTGTAAAAAGCTGGTTTACATTTGAAAGTTTGACTATTTTAGTTGACTGTGCAGGGAAGAAAAGAAAGAAAGTGAAAGGGGTAAAACTCGGGTGAAATGTGATAGAACAAGTTAAGACTGACCATGAACACTCAGCATCATGTTCCAGTTAATTATAATACTTGTTGGTTGTATGTAACCTTACTGGACTAATACCTTTCTTATCCTACCCCTTCCCCTTCTCTGTACTGAATGTACTCCTCCTCTCTCTTACTAACTCTAGGTCCTGGAACGTATCCTCAGGCCTATTAACTATACATTGAGAATATAATACTTATGTTTATATGTCTAGGTAAGAGGTAGGTAGAGGTAGGAAGAGGTAGGAAGAGGTAGGAAGAGGTAGGTAGAGGTAGGTTTAGGTAGGTAAGAGGTTGGTAAGAGGTAGGCAGAGGTAGGAAGAAGTAGGAAGAGGTAGATAGAGGTAGGTTTAGGTAGGTAAGAGGTAGGTCAGAGGTAGGTAGAGGTAGGGAGAGGTAGGTTTAGGTAGCTAAGAGGTAGGTCAGAGGTTGGTTTAGGTAGCTAAGAGGTAGTTCAGAGGTAGGTAGAGGCAAGAAGAGGTAGGTAGAGGTAGGTAAGAGGTAGGTAGAGGTAGAAAGAGGTAGGTAGAGGTAGGTAAAAGGTAAGAGGTAGGCAGAGGTAGAAAGAGGTAGGTAGAGGTAGGAAGAGGTATGCAGAGGTAGGAAAGAGGTAGCCAGAGGTAGAAAGAGGTAGGTTTAGGTATTGGTAAGTATAGGTAGGTATAGGTAGGTATAAGGAGGTATAGGTAGGTATTGGTAGGCATTGAAAGGTATTGGTAGGTATTGGTAAGTAGATGTCAGGTATAGGAAGTTATAGGATAGGTATTGGTAGGTAGATGTAAGGTAAGAGTAGGTATATATAGAGATATATGGGTTAATGTGAAGATGTATTGGGGTTATATAGGTATTAGAAACCTGTTTCACCAAGAATTTAGCCTCTCATGGCCTTGATTGTTGACCTGACGCTTTCATTCTGGATATTACTGGAATACTTCCATGACGTCATTGGAATGTGAGTTAGCTATACATCAATATATGTGTAAACATTCATAATCATTACACACATATATATTAGAGATGTCAACGTTTTGATTTTTCTAGATTTTAGCTTTCGTTACGATAGTGTTCATCAAAAGTATTAACGTTTGAAACGTTACGTTGCACATTATGAAATTTTATAGCATAAAGTAACGTTACGTAATGAATTTTCTGCACTTGAATACCTTATACAACGTTAAGCTTTAGTAAATGTTGTGAAAAAACAGTAAGCTCCGTTACGCTTTTGCATTTCCCGTATTAAAAAACTTTCCCAACGTTGCGTTAAAGCTTATGTAATAAAACCACAATTTCTTAACGTTCCACTTTCATGCAAGGTAAATATTTTCAGAGACCTTACGTTACACTTTCACTTGGTTTAAGATCTGAAAGATTACAAACGTTTTGCTTTTATAAAACGTCGTTGGGGCATAGTTCTGTACGTTACAATGCATTTCAGTGCAAAGAATATTTTTTGATAACGTTACGTTTTATCTTAACTTTTCCAATATAAACTCTTTTAATTACGTTTAGAAATTTTACTAAAATGCAACTTTTCTTACGTTACGATTTATCGAAACGTTATTGTGAACACTTTTGTGTTACACTTTTTTACAACTGACAATCAAAACTGTTTATTCGTTTCGTTTCTAAGAAAGATTTGAAAAAATGTTCTATACGTTGAGTTGTTCAAGCCTTAATGTTTCTAACATTAGACTTTATTAAAAATTGTTTCTAAATGAAAGCATTGCAAGATTTTTCCGTGATAATTACATTTTTTAACTGTATGTTGCTGTTGTATTGTTAACCTTTTTAGAGAATGTGTAGAAGAATATGCATTATGCAATAAAAAGATGTTATAATATTATTATTATTAACGATTTTTAAAATTTATGGAGTGGCATGTCCTGTAGGGGTGATCAATATTGGAATAGAGCCAACCGCCCACCGGAAGTCGCTGCGTTTTCACCGTAAGGCCACAAACAAAAATTTTATTTTTTATTTTCTTGTTATACATCATTTTCTTGGAAATTCAATGCTAAATTAAAATCTGAAAAGTGTTTTAAAAAATTGAAAATTGAGTGAGTCACAGCTAAAAAAACTCATCAAACCATTAAAAAGTTATAAAACTGGAATTTAGTACCGTTATTTGGCCATAACTTCTTTAGATTTTAATACATTTAAAAATGGTTTTCGAATCTGAATTCAGCATGAAATTTCCAAGAAAATGATGTATCATACTTATTTTTTGAAATATTTTTTT